TCGACTACAACCAAGTACTGTTGGCCATTCCATTCGAAGACATCAGTGGCAATGGTTGACCAAGATAAGTCCGGCACTGGATGTAGCTTGAGTGGCTCTTTGGGTTGGTGTGGTCTGGTGCTGTTACACACTGGACAGGCAGTTGTGTCCTGCTCTATGTCTTCAGTTATTGAGGGCCAGAACGCGATGCCACGAGCTCTACACTTAGTAGATTCTGTGCCTGGGTGCCCTCTGTGGAGGATAGCAATGTAGTCCTTTTGTAGAGACCTGGGAATTACTGTCTTTGGGCCTTTCATGACAATGCCATCTTCAACGGTGAGTTCATCTCGATACGGGTAGTATTGACGAATTTCTGTGGGCAGCTGAGTTTGTCTGCGAGGCCAGCCCTTTATTATGATTGCTATCAGCTTCTGTAGATCTGGATCAGAAGCGGTATGTTGCCTCAGTTCTGTCAGCCTCGAGGAGGAGATGTGTTGGACTGACATGACCTCATATTCAGCTGTTTCGTTGCTGTGCTGTTCTGTCGAGGTTGTGGGAGCACGAGACAAAGTGTCAGCGAGGTACATCAGTGAGCCTTTTTTGTACACTATTTGAAAGTTGTACTTTTGCAGTCTCAACATCATGCGCTGCAATCTGGCTGGAGCCACGTGTGACTAATGGCTGGTGGTCTGTTTCAATTTGGATTTGCTTTCCATAAATATAATAATTGAATTTGGAACACGCAAAGACGACAGCAAGCAGCTCTTTCTCGATCTGTGCATAGCGCATCTCCATCTGTGTCAAAGTACGAGAGGAGTAGACAATTGGGGCGCCTTCCTGAAGGCATGCTGCTCCAAGTCCATATTGTGGAGCATCACAGGTAAGTGTGACAAATTTCTGGACGTCGTAATATCTGAGAGTGGGCGGACTGGTTAGGCTCTTTTTCAAAGCATCGAATGCATCTTGTTGCTGTTTCAACCAGCACCACTGGGTGTCTTTGCATGTTAGCTCGTGAAGTGGGGCTGAGAGCTCACTGAAATTGGGAATGAACTTTCCTAAGTAATTGATCATCCCTAAGAAGCGCTGAAGGGCTGTGACATTTTTTGGTATGGGCATCTCATTGATTGCTTTAGTCTTAGTCGGATCAGGCTTCAGTCCTTGTCACACATGTCCAACGTAGCAGACTTCTTTAAGTCCGAATTTGCACTTTGAGGGGTTTAGTCTCAGTTTGACTTCTCTTGCTCAGTCAAGTACCTTTCTGAGGTTCTGTTCATGCTCTTTCATGTCTCTCCCACCAATGATTATCTCATCAACGATGACAGCACAGGGCTATCCACTGAAGATCTGTTCCATTGCACGCTGCAACACCTCACTGGCTGAGTTGATCCCATATGGCATTCTAAGAAAACGGAACCTGCCAAATGGAGAGCTGAAAGTTGTGAGCATGGATGATTTGTGATCGAGCGTTATTTGCCAGAAGGAGCACTTCGCGTCCAGAACAGAAAAGACTGTGGAGTTGGCCATTTGTGCGGCTACTTCCTCTATGGTGCGCATAGGGTGATGCAGGCGTTTTAGAGCTTTATTTAGGTCCCTTGGGTCAATGCAGAGTCTGATGTCGTCTGAATTTTTCTTGTGGGTTGCCACCATGGACGACACCCATTCTGTTGGCTCAGTGACAGGAGTCACTGACGCCTAGATCGACCATCCGGGTAAATTCTGCTTTAACCTTGTCTTGCATTGGTACAGGTATTTTGCGTGCAGGCTTTACTACTGCCTGGACCTCTGGGTCTATTTTCATGGAGTAGGTAACCGGGAGTTTGCCAAGTTTGTTTTCAATGAGGTCAGAGTACTCTGAGAAAATCTGTTTGGAGAATTCTTTTCTCTCGTTGATGGCTACCTGATGGACTTCTTTGTTCAGTGTTATTAAGTTTATAATAAAGAAACTGTGTTCAGATTTCCTAGATCAACTTTACTGCATGAAGGTGGTAGCTAGTTACTCATGCAGAACCTCATTACAGTACGCATGCGCAGTATGCCATTCACCTACAACATGTAGAATGGGAAACACATATTTTTCCAAACTGGTCAATAACATTAGATAAATGTTCTACACTGCCCGACTGAAGATGAGACTCAGGGAATTCAGTGACTCTCAGGCAGTGAAACCAGCGCCACCAAGAGTGAGCAGCACTGACGACTTCCCTCAGCAGAAGATCAGTGAAAACACGTCCACACTGCACCTGAGCAGGACTTTGGTTAAGGTTCGACATTTAAAACAACTTGTTTAGAGTTCAAAAAGTAACACAACCTGGTGATGTTTAGGAGAGTGAAACAGCGTTGGTTATGTTCTCCTTGTGTTTATATGTACGAGAAAAGTCACGAATGTAACAGACTCAGGTTCTGGGCCTGTTGGGCAGATTAAATGTTTCCTCTGTAAAACACAAGGAAATAATCAGACAGGAAATCGTGCAGTTTCTCTTTGCCTCGCTTCTGCCATATTTATTTATACAATCATGTATTTTCATTTCAATATTCAGTTTCCCCACTGCATAGTTTACAATTTACAATCATGTCAATCATCAGTCTTATAGAGAACACATCAGAATCATGCTTTAAGATCATGTACAGCAAACATTCCCATTAAGTACTTCTTCTCTAACATTGTTACACATTTTCAATTTAAGTTTTTACATTTTAACTAAAACACACTTCAGTTTCTCCCACCGCAGCTGCTCTGCTTTTAACATACTGTTTTTAAGATAAAACCGCCGCCTTAACGGCTCCTCATGAGTCGCCTGGTCGTAACCGTTAATACTGACGAGCTTTTCGCTTTGGCTTGAGACTCTTTTTAAGTTTTACTTTTGAACTTATGAACTAAATCTTTATACTTTTATAATCAAAACAATGTCGGAGCACTTTAACATATTCTCTGTTACAAGAAACAGGAGCTTAAAATAACACAAACTCAAAATGGCGTCCTTAGCTTCGCCTTGACCCGTTTTTACACGTCTTTTTACATGGCTTTAACTTAACAAAAATACAGTATTTATCGACTGATTTATACACTCACGACTCGCTCTGTTCGTTACTTATTGTTTTTGACCAATATTATGTTTTTTACTTTGATACTGATCTGTAAAACACAAGGAAATAATGAGACAGGAACATGTCGTACAGTTTCTCTTTGCCTTGCTTCTGCCATATTGGAGAGGAGGACCTCTGACCTCACGATTCCGTCTCGAGGAGTCACGCGCCACCTACTGGCGTGAGGGTGTAATTACAGGTTAAATAAAGTTATTACTTAAAATTGCTAATTTTGGAGGCAAATTTAAGTAATAACTTACTACCAATGCATACAAAAAAAAAAAAAAACATAATGTGAAAACACATTACTGTGTGTCACATTAAGTCTACGTTCAGTCTGCAGGTTTAACGCTCAATTCAGATGTTTTATGAAAATCGATGTTTTTTCGAGTGGTTCACATTTCCAGTTAAATGTGACTTGTATGTGACTCCAGTGTGAACATTAAACGGTCCAAAAGTGTCCCACATGTGACACTGGAGACACGACGACGTCAACCGCAGCGAGCGTCTCTGTGTTTACACAAGTTGAACAAACATGGACGCAGCATCGAGCACCTGGAGATTTTAAAGTTCCTCTCGTACCGGAGCCACAACATGAACAACTGACTTGTTTTAAGGAGGAGATTGAGAAGGAGAAGGACCAGGTTTTTGGTGGTGGTGTTTTGTGGTGAGTGGAGATGTGCTTCACTTCAGTCACATGGATCATGAACAGTTTTCTCTACTTCAGTGCAGAATAGTGACGTTTGTGTCTTGTTGATGACGTGTAGGTGGATGAATGTGACCTGACTGTTCACACTCAAGTCACATGTTAAAGATCAGATATGGATCAGTTTCAGGAGCACAGATCCAAATGTCCTGGTCACATGTGAAAACATCACATCTGTGTGGTTCAGACATGAAAAGATCAGATACAGGAACATAGAGACAAAACATCAGATTTGGGAAACTTCAGGTGCATCTGAACTCAGACTAAGTCACTTTTATTTGTGATGTAATCAAAATGTTGTGTCGTAGGTTTTTTGGAATCTTCTTCACACATTTAGTTGAACTTTCCGTTACAATATCAATAAAAAACACCATCGTGTACCAATCAAATATGACTTAGGCGACTGTGCGATTAGGCTGACGACATGTACATGACAGATCTCCATGCAGATCGTGACAAGTCGACCCAAAAACAAACCTCTTGTGACGCGGTGTTGT